GTTAAATTGTTTCTTTTAAAGTATTTTTTTGTCTTGAAAATTAATGAATAAAAAGAGGTTCGAGAGGTATAGAAATCGTTTGTCTAGAATACCTATGTGAGTACACAGACCTAATGCAAACGAAAAGATGTTTAAATTATTATTTTTTGTATGAAGTTAATCTCATGAAAGTACCTCACTAGTATTTTTGCTATATTCATCTAAAATAATTTGTTAGACTCATTGGGCTAATATCCGCATTTTATGGCTAGTAAGCACCAGACAGTAAGTTCAATTATCACCATGTCTAACGTTTCTAAAATATTTTCTTTATTTTTTAAACATGTTGGACTTTTTATAGAATTTCCGGCCATGTCACAAACCACCATTCACAGACGAAAAACGTTTTTTATGTGGATTCCCCAATATTCAACGTCAAAATAGGTCGATAGGGCATCCAAGTAAACTCCCTTGTCAGTCCATTGACATAGATCTGAAAAAAAAACATAGGCGAAAGGTAGTCGTAAGTATAGTGTTCACGGACCTTCTAAAAAAGTAAGTTAAAATGTAAAACAGGTTTACAATGATTTTTTCATGATCGCATGATGTACCGAACTTCCGACCCGTCTCGCAATTACCACTTGACCACAACGCACAAGAGAAAGGTAGTAAATACACAGTATATGAATAGCGTGGATATAATGTCTACAATGCAACATTCAGTATAATTATTTCGGCGTAATAAAAGGAGGCCACGAAACGAACGATAAAGATGTCAATAACTTTCCAATAGAGAATAGATACTATTAGACTGATATTAAGGGATTTTTATTTCAATTACTATAATCCGCAGATATAAATCACATGTATATTGTCTTGATGATGATATAACTTAAGTTGAATTCCGTTTCTCCCAGTGTGGCACACATTTGCGTCCGTTTCACTAACCGGTTTTTTACTTATCAGTTTATTATACAGGCAAGTGCCTGTAAATAAAAAAATAGTTGAAAAGACTACTGTCCTGCCCGACCGAATTGTTGCACGGGATTCAAACCCAAGACCAGTCACGTAACGCTAAGGTAAACATTTAGCTACAAAGGCGGTGAGATAGATCTTATTACTAGCACTATATTACCAAAATGTTATTAGTTAAGTTATTATTTCATAGCCACAATAAGCTTATTCAAGTAGGGGACAATATTAGGATTGCTTTGCACCGTCTAGTGGAGTTGTAATAATGTAAGGTTCTCTCGACTTCAGTGTCATGTTGTCTAGACGTGTACGATCATTTTACAGCCGTTGTTTGGATTTTTAGTAGTATTCTTATAGAAAACTAGATGCGTCTGCGACTTCATCTGTGTAGAATAGTTATTTTGGGCATCAAATTTAGTTTTTGCAAACCTTCTCTTTTTAACCTTAAAAGATGGACAATTTTTTACATCATTTAACGATGAATTAGTCTTTGATATTATGTATTTTTTGGGTATCTGAAGCCATTTTCGCAGCGTACGCATCGGGACCTCATAATGATGAATATCATTAGTTTTACACTTTTAACGGTTTAAAACGCGAAATATAATATGTAGTTAGAAAAATATTCACTGCTACCAACATTGCGGGTTAATTATTTTTATCTTTCTAGTGAATGTGCAGAATATTATTCCTTAGAATAAACATTTAGACACGACTGGGATTCGAACTCTCGACTACCACAGCACGGCAATCTAAAGCTGATTTTTATTCATACATTCTTTGATTGAATAATTAATTCATAATATCTATTTACTTCAATGAGCAAGATTCTATTTCAATGCGATAGAGAGATAACCGCAGACGCCCTGTGGCGACAGAGCTATGCCGACCGACTGGTTTTATATTGAACTGCGGTAAAAAACCATTCGCACTTCTATTGCGGAATGTGGGATGAATGACACGAGGTTATATTATTGCTTTTAATCTCAATCTTAGAAGACGACAAATATGGTCTATTAAAATTTCTATAACATAAACTACCAACTACCCGCTATCATTCGCCGAAAAATGCTACGAGTTACCAAATTCAATTAAAATTTCTTTGAAACTGTTTCATAAAATAGATTAGATTAAGTACTATTTCACGCGACTAGTTCACATTTAAATAAAACACTCTTAACAGTTTAAAACATGACACGTGCACACGGAAGGGGGTGGGGTCAGGCTACGGGACTACGGCAGCTAGTTACAATAAATTGTAAATAAGCAAACTGACACATTCACTTTTTAAACTGGGTCACGAACCCCCCACAGATGAAAAAGCCGTTCGGTTGCAGTATGTGAATATTCATATATCCGAAGTCTAAATAGATCGACACATCTTGTTTAGATGTTATATTGTCCTTCTTTATCATGAAATAATACTAGTTTAAATTTAAATAAAACACTTTAACAGTTTAAAACGCGACATATTAGGTAAACATATTTGAAAATGATTTATAACATCGGCCCGACGTTTCAAATTCGGCAAATAAGTTAAACTAATATATCGCGTTTTAAAGCGTTAAAGGTTTTTTCATGTGTACTACTCGCGTAAACTATACAGTATACGATACTAGTTGCTATTACAACTAAAGTGCGAATACTTTTCTAGTTAACAGTGGCTTAATCACTTCATCTAACGTGTGATCTAACGCTAATGTTTCCGACGGCTTGGAAAAACTGTAGAATGAAACCTGATTACACTTTAATGATGAAACTTTCAAGGTACCGCAATTGGATGCTATCGCTGCTTTTACAAAGCCTTGAGTAACCGAGTTAGTTTACTATTATTATTATCTATATCTATACTTTGAAGCTGAAGAGATTTTTTTGAACGCGCTCATCTCAGGAACTACGGGTTCGAATTGAAAAAATTATTCTGTGTTTGTTAGAACATTTATCGAGGAAGACTATAGGTTATAAAACATCGCTGTGACTAATAGGAGCGAAGAAACAGCGGGAAATGTACAAAAAAAACTTTCATCTCTGTGTGTTTCCGATGCGTAAACGCAGCGAAAACGGTTCCAGATACTCAAAAAATATGTATAAAGAATTTTTCTTTAAATGATAATCGACACTATAAGTCTATTTTTGAAGATTAACTTGCAAGAACGACGGGACAACTCCGATGTCGATATTGGATAGCAGTTTAAATTTATAAAGTCGAAGAGTAGGTTTGTAAAAACAAATTGTGTTGCCCATAAAACACTATAACTAGCTAATACGCGGACCCAGTCGCTGTCACAGCTAGTTTGTTATAGAAGTAAATCTCAAATAGTTAAAAAAAAAAGGGGTCTGCCTCGTGGGGCATGGGGGCGAACACATTTTTGTGTTCGTTTCACTGATCCGTTTAACAGGCAAGTAGTTGATCACACTTCTGTGCCCTGCCCGACCGAACCAATTTTCTGTTTCCCTGGGATTCGAACCCAGGACCGCTCGCGCTTAACGCAATGCTAGGCATCGCGTTTAACCATTTAGCTACAGAGGCGGTCAATATTATTATATTATGATCTTATGTTATATTCAAGTAGGATCTTTAAAAAAAACAAAGTCTGTTGTAATATTATATTGGTTTAAAAACAAAATTACAATGGCATCACGCATGCAACAAAAGCACTAACATGCAATTTTTACATTTAAACATCACTCCTGTGATACACACAATATAAAACCATATAAAACTGACCGTAGATTGAAATATTTATATTATCTAACATTTTTATCACAGTAATATTACCTAAATATTTCGCCTAAATCCTTCGTTCGATAATTCGTTAGTTTCCGATTTCGACTATTTTCATCTTATTAACAATTTATAACACCTTGAGCAACGAGAAACTGTCGGAATAAATCTATAGAAAGTGTTTCCAGCACACCGCTCTTCAGCAGTCCCCACTGTTGGGACAAGTTTCCTCTTAGAGACTATAAGCTGGGCAAATGCGTATTGGTGGATGAAAATTAAATTTTCGGATGTACTGGCGATTCAATCCATGAACAAGACCCACAAATCTATGATTATTACCTACAAGTAATTCTGGAGATAAAAAAATATTTAATAAAACATGAAAAGTAATGAAACAAATGATTACTGTGTTTATAATATTATTAGAAAACATTTAAATTAATATCAGCACCCTAACGTCTACCAGCAGTACACATTAAATAAAACACTTCTAACGGTTCGAAACGCAAAATCTACAGCTTATACTCTGTCTGCAGATTATGTAAGTAGTACACATTTAAATAAAACTCTTTAACGGTTTAAAACGCGATAAATTAATTAAACTTATGTTGAATATCATTAACTAGCCAGACGTTGTCCCGTGACCACAGCGGTTGCAAAGCATCCGAAACGGCGGGCCGTAGTTAAAATAAGTTTAACTAATATATATCGCGTTTTAAACCGTTAAAGAGTTTTATTTAAATTTACAGCTTATTTTGAATTACTGCATCCGGGTCGTCGTAGTGAATATAGCGTTTGAAGCCATTAAAAGTGTTAAAACCCCAGTGACGCTTAAAACATTTTTAAATTAATTAAAGCATACAGTAACCGGTTTCTTTACATTTCTGTACACTTAGTCTAATATTTACATTCAGTCGTGTTTAGGAACTTAAATGAAAAGGTCTACTGACGCGACGAGATTACTTTGTGACACTATTTTTACAGAACAGAAGTTTTTCTACTTCAA